ATATATATATATATATATATATATGATATACTGTATACAAAGCAGTAATCATATTTTTATACAGAGTGTGTGTGTGTGTGTGTGTATAGACACACACACACATACGTACACGAATAGTAGAGAAAGCAAGTAAATATAACTATAAATACATAAAACAAGTATAAAAGCATTAACACAGTTCCCCAAACTTTGAGAACTGTGGATTACATATAGGTAGAGAACAAGCCAGGATTCAAAAGCAATTCGGTCAAAGGATGGTTCTCATTATATGAAGGGGACCACTGTTTTTTGAGCTCAGATGTCACAGAGAACTATGGCACGGCTAAAGTTGGATCCAGAAGTCTTCAGTCCCTCCCTTGCAGGCATAAAAGAGAAGGTGGGGAACTTCTGTACGCTGCAGCTTTTTCTCATAAGCAGCAGCTAGGGTTTCCTGCTATGTCTGAAGCGCTGCGGGGCTTACATGTGGCTTAGATTCCACTTGAGTTGCCCATGAGGTCGAAAAAGGAATATTCTAATTGTAACCATTAAACTGCACTCGATTGCTCATTCAGGCAGCTTAACACTCAATGTTAAATTTGACAAATGATGACACCCGTGTAGCCATCCAGAAAACTGTGCCTGATTTAAGAATTTCACAAAAGTTGAAATCCTTAAAAGTACCCGCAACCTCTGAGAATTCCCATAGAGGGACAGGAAATACACATTGCTGATTTCTTCCCTCTTCAGGGGCACGCTCCAAAAATACCATAAATATGGTACAAATGCAAATGCAGTAAGTGTTTTGTGCAAAGGAGCAGCAACAGCTTCTACAAAAAGAAAAGGTTTTTTACAAAAAAAAGTGGGGCGAGAACTTAGAAGAAAAGTGACAATACTTCAGTTATTTTATGACAGGCTTGTGACATTTAAGACAATCTGGGCTGCTCATTATTCAGTCGCCTATAATAGTCTGCACAAAAACCAGAAGGATCACATACATACCTAATTTCACTTCAGCATTTTCTGTTAGCAGCACATTCTGCCCTTTAATATCTCGGTGGATAACATGGTTAGCGTGCAAGTGTGACAGACCCTAGAAGAAAGATTACCCAGCTTTAACTTTCTTGCCTGTTTCTGCTTCTATTCAAAGTAGAAGGAACTTTGATCTTGGCTGGTCCAAAGCTACATCATGGAAGAAAAGGGAATCTGACTCTTGTGCCCACCATTTCCTGCCTTATCTTTCATTTCCTCTTCATTTACAAGAACATCTCCCTAGAAAACAAGAATGATTGGCATGGGAGAGGGTGTACCAGCCCACCAAAAGAGGTAAGCCTGATTTTAATCTGATTATTTCAATAAGGAGCGTAAGCCGCTGAAAGTCATCTTTCAGCTCAGTGGCATACTGTCGTGGTTTGAAGGAAGAACCTTGAGGAACAGGAGGAAGAACCACAACCAAAACAATGGTCAGATAAGAGACATCTGAGTCCAAAGCAGGAGTGGGAATTTGAGAAAGCGTCTCAGACTTGACCCTCCTTACTTCTCATGAAGATAAAGGGAGGGAGGGAGGGAGGGGGGGCGTGTAGATTCTGTTACTGTAACCTTATAATAAAAGTAGTCATAACCTTCCTAACTTTGGTTTCCTTGTCTGGTCTACCTTGAAGGGCTGATAGTATACACTCTAATAAGTAAGTAAATTTGCTAGAGAAGGTGGTGGAAAGTAACCTGACCAGTTTGCCGTCTGCCACATGGGCTATTTGTGATTGCTCATGTTTACCAGGGTGGCCATTTTGTGAGACTCCTACGTACTCTTGAGACTCCAAATGTGTCTGCTGACCAAAATGATCAGAGACCTTTGTGCTTCTGCAATCAAGGGCCCTCCTCCAAAGGTCTGTTAAGTGAAAAGTCAAATGTGGTGGGTGGGAGGTTCAGTTATTACAAATAGATTTGGAAAAAGGGAAGGAGGAACTGTAGGAAGTAAAACTTCCTACCTAGAATAAGAACCTTCCCCAACAGGTGCCTTCAAGAGGCATTAAGGTGCAACTCCACAATTCCCACCAGCTAGTGAATGGAGAAGGTAGATGTGAGTCATCATCTAAACCTTTGGAAGGACTCCAGGTTGACTTTCTCTGCAATAAATCAATACAATATATGCAATATATACTATAGATCCCCTGATGCCTGGATAACCTGACCACAAGGTATGGAAGATATATGCTTGTAATTTCAGATTCAGCCTTGATACTTCATTCAAAATTTCAACAAAAGGATACTTACTCTGAGGACCTCTCTGCAGATGTATGCAATCCAGTCTTCCTTGAAAGAATTCCCTTTTGTCTTCTTCACTAAATCTGTTACAGACCCAGCCCCACAATATTCCATTACCAGCTGGGGAATTGAGAAACAAAAATAAAAGCAAAAACAAAATTATTGTTGTCCAATCCAGAGAGTTTATCTGTACATCTTCTAGATGGCTGTACCCTAGGTAGAGGCAACTATAAAAATTGCCCTATTCTCATGAAAACCATTTGCTTTATGCTTGAACAGCTGTATTCAATGCTAAGACTTCCAGAGTAAACCATAAGTAAATCCAGCCATCCTGCTAAGCCATAGTTTCTTGACTAAACCACTACTGGCTGGATTCTAGATCACAGTAAGCCATATATTGTGGTTTACAAACTATAAGGATCGAGGTCACGCCATATGCTAAGCTACACCCAAGCAAATCATTAAACGGGTGAGTGTGATATTTAATCCAGCTTTGGTAACTCTCTTCCTTGGTAATTTCAAATTTGGAAAATGATGCCTTGCCTCAGTTATTAACAAGTATTTCTTTTATTTACTGATTCAGTCATTTTGATCCTGCCTTACTTCCAATGACTCAAGGAAGCTTACAAGAAGGTCAGTAGGATCAGAATAAAATAAAACCACAAACTAACCCAGGAAAGGAAACATTATAACCACAACCCAGATGCACTGCCTGCATCAAAACTCTTTGGAACTAGGTTTAGACTTGCTTTATAAAGCAACAACAGTAGAGTCTCATTTTAATGGACCTCAGTTTAGTGTACTTCAGATTTAACAGACAAAATCTGCTGAATTTTGGAGGGTCATCACAGATAAGACTGCCCAGTGGCTGGTCTGCTGATGTCCTCCGCCTCTCTCCTGGATGCCTCTAGAAGTTTCTTGGATCAAACTTTTGGGTTATCTTTCTCAATCCAGGGTTCCTAGGCTCTGGTCCACAGCCTTCACAAGGCCTTTCAACTGCAGCTCATCTTTGACATGCGGACCCGCCACTCCACCACCTTCAACCATAGCCCTGGGGTTCAAATGTCTATGGTTTGGGCTATCTTTTGCTCCTTGGCTGTGAATTGGGGCTTCTTTTTCTTTTGTTCTAGTTTGGGGCCCATTTGTTATTTAACAGACGCTTGACTTTAATGGACACACCCTGTTAGCCTATTACGCTGTTTGAACTGTATCTGTACAAATAAATTTTGGAGAGTTCCCAAAAGAACAATCTGTCAGCACGTTTGTATTTTCTTAATCAAAGCCACCAGAGTCTGATAATTTTTTGAAGTCACTTTCTTTCTCCTTAGAGAAACCCCTTTTGTCATGTGTACAAACCCCCTCAGCAAAAAAGGAATTGGAAATGGACAGTGAATTTCAGCGCACTCACCATACAGTATGCAATTTAAATATTGGCATTAAAAACAAGCATGCACGCATAGAGAATTAGTTCCTTAAGTTCCTCCTCCCCCCATTGTAACTCTTTTAACAATAACTACAGCAATATTCTAAGGGCTCAAACACCAATTGCTTCCATTAGATTCTTTTGCTCTAATCACAATTACTAATTTCACGGACAACTGTGCAAAACGACAATTACAGCAGCTATCAGTCAGCTTCCAGATGGTCAATAACTGTGGCCAATCTCCCAGTGCAACCACAAAATTATAAGATTAGTGAAAGACCTGAAGACTACAGAGAATGCAGCGTTCTGCATTTTGGCATGATCTGCAATGTCTAAATCCATGGCTGATAAGGCTCTAGACAAAATACTCACTGGAGTCTTATCCACTCACACACAGTTTTCTCAGCCCCCTCCAATCTCTCCCTGAGCAGTCCTAACTTTCCCCCCCTCCCATTTTATCAGGCACCTGGCATCCATAAGAGATACTACAAAGCAAGGATTCGGTCCTATCTTGGTGTCTTCTTCTAGAAAAGGAAGGAGCAGTATAGAGGACAGGATCTCTATTATTATTTTTTTTCAAAAAAGACACATGTGACATGAAGTTAGGAACCAGCTACAAGGCCCTCAACCTGAGCCTAGTAGCCTAATTCTGGCTGCACAAAGATGCAGTCCTATCTTCCATATACTCAGATTAACAGAACTCAATTGTTTTGTTAAGACTGTATGCTACAACTAAACAAAAAACAAACAACCCCACATTATTATGGCTTAAGGAGATTGCCTAGTTAGCACATACTGAAACAGTGGCTGGGTTCCCACAAAGAACCCATTGTGGCCTTGGTCTAGGAAGATGTGTGAAGATGGTACACTAAAAATACCTGCATCAAGGATCCGTAGTGATCCATAAAGACCACAAGCAAGCATCAGTAGGGCACCTTCTCAACATATCTTGATGCAGTGGTAAACACAGACAAGTGCACCTAAATGCAACTCTGCATATGTGCCTACTGGTGACACCGGGGAGTCTGGAGGAAAGTCGCAAACAGAACTAAGCTGTGGCGGAGAAACACAAAACACAATAAGACAAAAGTCAGCTGGGAGTTTTCTGCAGCTTGCTCATCTTTCTGCAAACAACTGAGAATTTCTCTTACTTAACTGGAACTCAGAAAGAATACAATTCAGTCAACTGGGGAAGCAATCCAAGAACAGAGTAGTTCCTAAACGGGAACTGAGAGTAACTAAACTTCCAAATAACTATATTAAGTACAGGCAAAGAGAAGGAGAGACCTACCCATAGCTGGTCATCCTGACCTGCAGGACTTTTCTTTACAAAAGCACCATAATAGGTTGCGATGTTCCGATGATGGGAATACTTCTTCAGCATGTTAATTTCCAGTTTGATTTCTTCTTCCTCATCCTAAAATAAACAAAAGTGTGGGATGTGAGAATATAGGTGACAATATTTGGGAGCTTCCCCAGGATCCTGACTTGAGACCAAGGAAGGACTCAACCACTTTCTGCTTGTCTTATTTTGGTGCACCCAAAACTCTGGGCAGATATTAGTCTGGCTTATTATGTGACATAAAGAGCTCTGGCATGTGAAGGAGACATTGGCTGCTTGATGTACATAATTGTTGGGCCCAAATGGTTGGTGCCTACATTCATAAATTATTCTGAAACTCACTACACATTAATATGCAAAATATACACTGGCATAGCCAAACGTTGAGTTAGCATTCTTCTTTTTTTCACCCATACAAATGGTATGCATGTGAACAACTGGCTCTAAACACACTCATTTATCATCTTACACAAATTCTTTTATTACTGAATCGGTGCTAATTGAACATCAGTGTTGTGGAATAGATACAGATTGCACTCAAAAAAATCCACACTGTTCACTAGGTAGGGCATATGGAAAGATATCAAGGCAAAACAATCAGTGTACAATCAGCTGAGTACTAGCAGTTCCACAGCCTTTTCCAATTTCACTGAGAGATCAGAGCGGGATCTGCTGCACTGAATAATAGTTCCTCCCATCCCAGGGCTGATCCCACCTTGATTTCAGATTCAGTCCCCATGTTCAACTAAGAGCTAGCAAGACTAGATGTCATTTGGCCAGGGTCTCCATACTGAGATAAGGTCAAGAGGCACAATCTGAGGTTCCAGGTTATCACCTGAGGAGAAACAGGACACCTAGAAATAAAATGAGGAGGCCAGGATGATCCTGGGGGATAAGAATGTACTGTAGTCTAGAACAGGGGCATCCGATTAACAAACATAGGGCTGCCTCTGATGCATCTACCAGAGCCTTGCAAACTTGTCATGAATATATTATTAATGGGACAGAATGTGGATATTATTGAATCCACGGAGACAATAATATTAACAATATTTAATTCAGTGTTTCTCAACCTTGGCCACTTGAAGAGGTGTGGACTTCAACTCCCAGAATTCCCCAGGGAATCTCTAAGGCAAAGTAATAGACTGTCAGCCCCACTAGGTAGACCAGATCAGGAAATCAACTCCACAGGAGGGCTAAAGCTATTTTGATTGAGACTGGCTACCATAACAGGATCTTGCAAGTTTAATTCTGGATTGAACCTCCTCCTCCTTCTTATACGCCAGTGAATCAGGGAGGCATCTGCCTGCACCATTCTGAATATGATCTCATTTCCCAGGGCTTAAAGAATGTTTCAGCCCCTCTTGCCTATGTA